CATGCCGTTCGTTGAATTAACCAAATGACTCAAAAAAAGATTTGCAAAAACATAAGCAAAGTGAACTAATCCTTTAAGGCAAAAAAACAATTATTGACTACAAGGGGACATTAAAATCTACTATAAAATAACTTAAGTGTAAACTAAAAGTTTTAAGACATATAATGCATTAGCTGCAATTAATTAAAAATGTATTATAGTTTAATTTATATTTAAATACAATCAGCTGAATATTTTTGACAAACTTAAACAGGCTCTATATATAATCTTTAAATATTCACTTTACACTTTACAATCAGGTCTCATTCGTTAACATTAGCTGATTAACTATCTAAATACTAACTAAATAAAAATTAGACTAAAATTATATAACTAACTAAAAATTGGGCAATACATTTGTTACAGTTTTTATTAATCTTTGTTAACATTAGCTAGTTAGTTCAGTGCATTAACTAATGATAGCATACAACTTTTGATTTGAATAATGCACAGTAGGCTAAATGTTGAAATTAACATTAACAAAGATTAATAAATGCTCAAGTATTATTATTGTTAGTCCATGTTACTTAATAACTAATGTTAACAAACGAAACCTTATTGTATGTTACCAAAATTCTGTACTAGGCTACTAACAAGCATTACTAAAATATACTTAAATGTATTTTTTTTTCCTATGGAAATTTATTTATCATGTGTTTAATAAAACATATTTGTAAATACACATTTGTAATGATGCAGTTTATTACATTTAGTACAATTGAAATATTTTAACTTAAAATGTGATGCTGATTAACACCACAGCTGAAATTATACTCAAGTATTTGCATTACTCAAAATAAGCATACTTCTTTAAAGCATGACAAAAGATTGAATTTGACATTATTACAAAGTGCATTTTTAAAAGCATACTTAAGTGTGTCAAGACACATGAAAGTGCACTCTCTTGAAATACATGGATTTTATTTCATCATTATTATATAACCTGCAACTTATAACCTGTAATCAAACTAAAATGTATACTTTTAAATAGGGTCGTCAAACAATTAATCGTGATTAATCGCATCCAAAATAAAACTTTGTGTTTACATAATATATGTGGGGGCACTGTGTATAATTATTTTATAAATATATACATATATAAATACACACACATGCTTGTATATATTTAAGAAATATTTTCATGTATATACTGTATATAGATTTGTATATAATTTGTATTATACATAAATATAAATATTTTATATATAAATAATATTTTTTTCTTAAATATACATGCATGTGTGTGTATTTATATACATATAAAATAATTATAAACAGTGCACCCACATATTTTATGTAAACACAAACTTTTATTTTGGATGCGATTAATCGTTTGACAGCCCTACTTTTAAGATCTGATGCAGAGCACATTTAATAGAATAAAGCACACTTCTTTTTCACAAAGTACGTGCTTCACCAAAAAAATTATCATTCTGTCGTGTTGTTTTAAAGCTTTATGATGTTCGTTCTTCTGTGGAACATAAAAGAGGATATTCTGAGAAAAGCAAGTCACCGAAATGGTTTGGTTTATTCTGTAGAAGAAAGAAAGAAATGTTTGGGACGACTTGAGGGTGAGTAAATAATGACAGAATTTGATTTTTTCAATCGCTTTAACGCTCTATTTGCTGTGAAATACACAGTCAGCATGTTGCAGGGTGAGTTTTCCCATTAGACTGAATGGAGTGTAACCTGTGTCTGGCAGGACCCTCTCACACACAGATGGTGATGTTGCTGGGGGGAGGATGGATGTAATTTGGGGATGGATGAGGGAGTCTGTATATGTGAACGTGTGTAGCCCAGGGGCACAGACATACACACACACACACACACACACACACACAGCAGACTGACCTAGATGAAGTCAGAGCTGTCAGCTGACTCTGTGCCTGGCCGTTCCCTCGCTCTACACCCAAATGTGCGGCCGGCTACTGTATTCACGGGATAGAAACAGACATGGACTGTGGCTAATCTGCCCCCCACACACACACACTCCCTCACACACACATGCGCCGAACGAGTCATCCGCACCGCTCCACTCCTGGCTATTGTATGAAGCTTTTGTCTGGTGTGGGGCGACCATTAGTGTGAAGTGTGCCGGGACTTGTAAATACACACCTGTCATCAAAAACTCTACTGCCACTTGAATTCGTTCAAATGTGAGTTGAATGAATCAGGCTTAGTCCTTTGTTAACCCATGGACACATACAGCGAAAACTGCCTACATAATAATATTCATTTCCAGATAGCAGAAAAGGTTGATTAAAGAATGTGAAATTGAATCAGCTTATGACCTCAAAGCTAAATATAGCAAACTGCGCAAAAGGGATTATGGAAACATCAAAGAAAAATGAAAATGCAAGTCACAGTCTCTGTCATTTTCTGCTGTAGGTCCATCAGCACACACACACACATTCAGAATTTAAAATTTCCTACATTTTCTATGTTTATATGAAGATGCAAAAAATAAGGTGAAAGACTGAGGCATTTTCAAAACATCGGCTTACCCAAATTACCACAAAAACAATCCTCTCCTAAGACTCTAACACCGCATCATGTGATGCTTTAAACCTCCAAGCGTGGAAGGTTCATACAAGCCCTGAATAACACTTACGTAAGTGAATAATCCAGAAAAGTTTTTTTTTCAAGGATGCTGTTAAACATTCTCCTCTGCAGTGTCATGATGGGACATTATGTGAATGATTCGTGTCTTATAAACTGCTTCATCATCTGTTTGAACAGAGTGCAATTGTGCAACATGCGTTCATTTATATGAAACAGCTTCTTTATGTTTTAACTGCTATCTGCAACAGGATAAGTGTAATCCTCTCGGGAAACTACTGTTCTTGTGAAATTATTTTGTGGTGAATTGGACCAAGTGCTTTTCCTCATCTCAGAGCAACTGCTAAATGTGCTCCCGTACACTCAGAAAAAAAGATACAAAAGCTGTCACTGGGACTGTGCCTTTTCAAAAGGTACACTTTTGTACCCAAAGGCTGCATATTAGGTACCTTAGTGGTACATATTAGCACCTAAAATGTACATATTAGCACATGAAATGTACATATTACCACCTAAAATGGACATATTAGCTCATGAAATGGACATATTAGCACCTACAATGTACATATTAGCACTTAAAATGGAAATATTAGCTCATGAAATGGACTTATTAGCACCTAAAATGTAAATATAACAACCTAAAATGGTTATATTAGCTCGTGAAATGGACATATTAGCACCTAAAATGTAAATATAACAACCTAAAATGGTTATATTAGCTCGTGAAATGGACATATTAGCACCTAAAATGTAAATATAACAACCTAAAATGGACATATTAGCTCATGAAATGGACATATTAGGACCTAAAATGTACATATTACCACCTAAAATGGACATATTAGCTCATGAAATGGACATATTAGCACCTAAAATGTAAATATAACAACCTAAAATGGTTATATTAGCTCGTGAAATGGACATATTAGCACCTAAAATGTACATATTAGCACCTAAAATGTACATATTAGCACATGAAATGTACATATTACCACCTAAAATGGACATATTAGCTCATGAAATGGACATATTAGCACCTAAAATGTAAATATAACAACCTAAAATGGTTATATTAGCTTGTGAAATGGACATATTAGCACCTAAAATGTACATATTAGAGCCTAAAATGTACTTAACACTTAAAATGTACATATTAGCACCTGAAATGTACTTGTAGCACCAAAAACTGCCCCAGTGACAGCTTTTGTACCTTTTTTCTGAGAGTGTAGAAGCCCAAACAATTGTATTTGGTTTCTATTCGAAGAGAAATTCTTGAAAATGTAAGGATATTATATAAACCAGTCTTTTGTTCCTCACACATTTGCATTTAAACTTTAACGTTTATGGTTCCACGTTGAAAGCAGAAGTGAAGTTATCTCTGTTTCCCAATCTGTTACTGAGGACATGCTTCTTGTCATATGATAATGTATATCCAATACATTTCTGTTTTGTTTTGCATGGTCTGAGACTAATGTGCTGTTTTTTACATCATAAGTCTCGAACCCAGAGCAATTCTCCGTTTGCTGCCCTTAAATGTGTTTCAGATGTGACTTTAGTTTCGCGAATGAATTGTTCATTTGAACAGAATCTTTTGAACGACTCAGTTGAACCGATTCGCAATTTGTCAAAATGCATCACAGGAGCATTACTAAACAAAATGAATAAAAGGAGACCTTTTTGTTCTTGTCTTCTGTTAAGTATATAAATATAGACAAATAATTGTTCACATTTTCGCATAATTTGACCAAATTAAAGCTTGACTAAAGATGATGCACTGTTCAGTAATATTTACCTTGATTTTGATCAGCTTTCACGTCTCATATTTCACCTCTTCACTTTATCAAGAAAGCCTATGTAACTGGGCTTTTGTCCCCCTCTGCGTTGTGTTATGATAATTTGAAAAAAAAAAAACTTTTATTAGTGGTTGTCATAATTTGAGAGAAAGTGAACAAATAATAGTCACACAATAAGTTGGCTATGGTTTACGCTGTTCGAATCAACAGTTTTTAACATGTAATAGGCTAATTAAGAGAAACATTCATTTGAATTAGGCTACATATAACTTAAACAACACGTTAAATGATTTCTCGCTAACTTTAAGTGACGAATTAAACGGGCTGGTGAATCATTTTTCAACGGTTTTTGTTTTGCAGTGAAGCGTTCGAACGAACCGATTCATTCATATGAACCGTATTTCCCAACGCGGCGTTCAGAGACGTGTTGTTCGCTGAAGTCGCGTTCAATGACCGCTGAGTCTGCTTTTAAAGGCTAATCCACCGCGCTCTAATTGGTCAATTACATCCACGTGTAGGCGGGAACAGGAGCTATGTGTGGTCGAAAGACCTATCAATCATCATTGTGTGGACACGCCCACACCTCTCTCAGTAGCGCTGCACATTGAACGCGCGAGGACACAGACGCTGTGTGAGGTTTCGGATGTTAGTAAGCTCGAGCGCCACTCGCACATATGACAGGATACAAGCTCGAAAGAAGAAAATATGCCAGTGTTCATCACGTATCATGCGATTTATACATCGCTGTGCTGATTTCGTCAGTATTACAGAGGTGAACGGCGATGTCTGGCTGCGTAACGCTGATTGACGGACCGGAGCGGTCGCGCGCGTTTTAACGCACACCAGTGTTTTCAGCTCAACTTTGCGAGAACTTTGCGGCATCACTTCTCTTTTTGACGGGGGAGGTGAAACGACAACACAAAGCATGGCGACACAAAACGACTGCTCTGTCAAGGTCTCTTTAAGGTAAGCCTGCCTGTCAGAATCAGCCGACTGTGCCCATATGCAACCATCATTTCGCATTGTTTGTAGTATAATGCACTGTTCGTGCTATTACATATGTTTTATTTATCATGCACTGTTTATTTACGTTCACAACAAAGAGTTTGTAGGACAAACAGGGTGTTGCAATGCTCAGGGTGTGTGCTGCACAAGGTAAGACCCGGTGATGATGCACATGCACACAGACGCAATATTGCAACCCGTTGAGTGTAAAATTTCTTGCAAGTGTCTAACACAGATGTGCGCGAACTATAGTTTCCCATGTGCCGCCACATGCATGTTACATGCATGCATAATTACATGCGTAATGCATAAGTTACATTTAGGTTTGACTTGTCTCGTGCACTTAATTGCTGTAAGGTGCATTTAATTGCTTTATGAGTTTTGCATAAATGCTGAAGGACATCCGATAATGCAGGAATGTCTGCAAGGTGATAATGACAAAGACGCGCGCGCGCTCCTTCTCAATGTCCTTATTTCCTTTGTTAAAACGCCACATCAGTGAGTAATATCGCCATAGATCAATGTCGATTCGATTCGCCCTCGTCTGCAATGATCACCAGAATTGCCAATCACACTAATGCCACTATTCAGTCGTAAAACTGAAGCGCGTGTCAGCAGGCAGGAGCAGTGAACGAGCATGACTCGAGGCGGTGGTCTGAGGACCGTCTGGATCCCCTTCAGACTCCGATGCCAGAACATAGAGCAGTTTAGAGATCAAACCCGGTGTCTGGGTGTGTTATCACCCCGTTTCCATTTCTCCTGTGAGCTTGCATGCATGCATTGTGTTGTTTGAAAGGGCCAAATGGACCTGCTGTTGCAGTAATGTAAGATTGAAGTGGATCTTTTCTTTTTGTGTCAGGGAGTGTGTCTGCAGGTGCATGGTTGATTTTTGATGCACGGTTTGTGTAGTAAGCGTGCTTTACTGTGTCTGCTGCTCACACCTGCAGACGAGAGGAGGGGGAGCATTACATCAATGAATGAAGTGGACCCACGTGTTCTTCTGAACATCATGAAGGCGGACTGTTATTTAAAGCTATACTTCATCTAGATATCCAGACTGTTGTGTGGAGCGAGTTCCAGTGCTCGCAAGGCATGGCTGGATTGATATTCCTCACTATTAAGTGCTGCTTAAGTCGAGCATCACTGTTAGTATTGCTCATAACATAAAGGGGTGTTCACACTGACCGCAGTGTGCAGTGACCCGAAAGTCAATTATTTTCAATGCTTGATTGGTAATTAAAGTGATTAGACAAAATTAGTAAACCGTAGCCACACTCTTAAAAGAAATGGTTCCCCCATTCCCCCGCTTCAGATATGGAACTTCAAAATGGGTTTTTTTTTTGGTAAAAGGTTCTATTGGCCAAGTGTGGAACCCCAGGGTTCTATATAGAACCCAGAGGAACCCTTTTTTAAGAGTGTATAGAACCTTTTAGGGGTTCCAAATACATAGCGCTGATAGAACCTTTTAAGGTTCTATATAGAACCTTTTCTTCTAAGAGTGCAGATATGTTCTAGCAGATGCGGTTTAGTATGTTAAAGGGTAGACACGTTGAAAATTCTATCATTAATTACTCATCCTCACATAAGACTTTCGTTCATCTTCAGAACACAATTGAAGATATTTTTGATGAAATCCGAGAGCTTTCTGTGCCTCCATAGACTACACAAAAGTATTCGTAACATTTAAGGTTGAACCACTGTAGTCACATGGACTAATTTAACGGTGTCTTTACTTTTTGGCCCTTAAAAGTGGAAATAACGTTGCAGTCAATGCAGGAACAGAAAGCTCTCAGATTCCATTAAAAATATCTTAATTTCTGTTCCGAAGATGAACGAAAGTCTTACGGGTTTGGAACGACATAAAAGCTGAGTAATTAATGATCTAGAATTGAGATTTTTGGGTGAATTATCCCTTTAATGAATGGGTGAAATCATAACACTGAATATGGCATTCTAGAAAATCAAATCTGGTAAAGTTTGCATGTGGCTGCTCTTGTTGAAAAATGAACCCACCTTATTTGGATGCATCTTTCATCTAAAGTTGGCTCCAAATATCATAAATGTTTGATATCTTCTAGATTGAATACTGTAGTTAAAAGGATAAAAATTTGTCATGCCCTTCCAACTCGGCATCTCGTAGATTTCGGAGTTTCCCACTTGTATATAACTTGGAAATTCGATTGCGCTATTTCTGAGTCCATGGACTGAGTCCATCCAATCAGCCAATGAATTGAACCGAATACCAGCCCTGCATTTTCTCTCTCTCCGATAATCCGTTTCAGAACAATACGTGTGTCCCTGATGAAGGTCATGGGATCGAAACGTTGCACTGAAAGAATTCTTTTGAGATTTTTGCAATTACAGGTAGTTTTGTTTGTTTTAAATTAATTTTAAATTGACCTTTTTAATTATTTGTCCTATATTATCTATTACCCCCAGTTGTGTGAGGTAAATTGTTAATCGATTGCGATACGAAAGAAAAAAATTGTCTTGCGTTGCGGCAAGCTGAACGGACGTGACATGGGGACGTGGACGCATCGACGATTCCATTTCTTTAATTCGAAGTTCGAGATTGTGAATTAATTTAGATCTATTTCGCTCACTCTTACTCCATTGATAGTTTAGCAGCATCCCTCCACCGCCCCTTCTCCACACTTCCAGTCCTAAACACTTACATGGGGGGAGTACTCTGCACGCCAAATACGCATTTAATCTTATCCACTCTAATTATATGTAAGTTATGCAAGTTTAAATTCAATGAAATCAAAACATAACAGCAGTGAAATCACAAAAAATGGTGTTTATTTCATCATTGGCAGTTCTTAGTTGAAATTTCCCAGCAGTCATTGGATAAGGGCAGGAAGGATATGACTGAGCTTGGAGGACATTGAGAAATTAAGGACATCAGCCAATCAGATTGTCTTTATTGCTGACCCAGAATCTGCCTTGATGCCCACCCTAACAACGCACGAGACGAGACGACGATGGATAGTTTAGAAGCTCTTTCTTGATGAAATTCCTACCAGTAGACTAATTTACAGTAGTGCGAGTGATTAAATAAACGCTTCTGTATTTACAGTATGTCACGTCATTGCTATCCTTTGTGAATAAACTACTTCTCCATTATTACATGTCCTTGCCACAGTGAGAATGCGTGACCTCAACAGCGAAGTAGCAAGCTCAGCTTCACTTCTCATGAGTTGACCCTTTTTCTACCTCATTTCCTCTTAATCACCATCAAAGCCTGCGGTTGAGAGATTGATTGTGTTTTTCTCTGTGGGTGGGAGTTTGCATCTGTATTGTGTGTGTATGTCATCTGCAGGCCATCTCTCCTCTCCCTCCTGGTATAGACAAGTGAGACGTTCTCCATGAGCGTTGAAAATTAGACACAAAGTGAAAATTTGTTTTGCTGATGATTTTCTTGCCTGATAAAGAAGGTTATCCATACTGTGGCGTCAGACTGTCTGTCCTCCAGGGTCTCGACGAGATAACGCGTCTGATGATTTCATTGGGAATCTTCTTACATCTCAAACTGTTTTTAGAAATATTTCTTTGAACTGAGCTCAAACCGATAAGTGCCTGCATCTGACAGTTTGAGAAACGCCTGACCCGTTTATGCGTCCAGTCCGCTTCCTCCTGACACGGCTTGATCTTTTCTCAAGGGTCTGGCTGAGAATGCAGGAGTTTGTAGGGGGATCATGTTAATAGTTGAGGCTCCTGGGAACCAGACTCGTAATTGCCTTGTTTATGGGAATAGCTTCCCCCAAGACTTTTAGGGTCCTTGGCATGCTCTGGAGTTACATGGCGATCACTGGGTCAATGACAAATAAGAGTGTGCATGATCCAGAGAAATATAGTCTAGTCTAATAAACAAAGGACGTAGCCCTCAATCGGGTCATGGCCCCAATCAAATTTTACTTAATAAAAAAAAGGTTCCCTTCATCTCAGTGGAATAAGATTTTGTGACTTTTCGTACGTTATCTATCTATACACACACACACACACACACACACACACAAAACTGGGCTTGATTTGGTTGTTCTGAAGGTATGTAAAAAAAAAATTGACTTCGGGGTCAATATGAGCCCACATTGAAATGAATGGGAAATGTGAAAAAAATAAATAAATATATTTTCTTCATGGGTCAAAAAAAAATCTGGCTTAAATCTGACATTTTTTAGATAGAAATGAAGGGCTAGTACTAGAGCATAAATGCAATGTATCATAAAAATTATGTTTCATATGCAAGCTAATGGTGTATTTGAGGAATTGTGTGGTAAATGGATACTTTATATCTTCAAAAACACAGCATTAATGAATAGATGAGAAGTAAACAAAAAATGATATATTATTTGTATGATTAAAAATGTATATTTTTTGCACAATTACTCAATCAATTGTTGGGGTCGTATAGACCCAGTAGTGTAAACAGGAAACGAAGACCATTTGAAGGTTAAATGTCATTAAAATGTAATACAATGTTTTACTTACTCATTGAATCCCTGAGTACGAGTCTACATCTTAATCATTGTTTTAGATTTATATTTTTAGATTATTGTTTTGGGGGAGTCGCACCACATGACATTTTACTAAACACGAGCTGTGATTTTTAAGAAACTTTACTGACCTTGACAGTCATTTCTTTTTTTTTCTCTCTGCATGATGGCTGCACCACATGACTTTAATTTGGCGGACAAATGTTTTTCAAAAAATTATTATATTTTAAGAACTGCTTCACTTCTTTTTCTTTATAATAATAATAATAATAAAAATAAAAATATATAATATATGTAATAAAAAATAGTAAAAATCTACATTTTAAAAACATTAAAATCTTTTTTGTGGGCATAAAAGACATTGGCCCCTCTGTGATTGTCAGTTGAGTTTATTGAAAGCGTTCTGACCTTAGCGGTTGCTTTTCTTGTAATCGAGACTAGTCCATTCGGCCACCCATTAAGCTC